AATAATGATCCATTGATTATTCCTGCTGACTGAACTTTTCCTTTAAAACCTGCATTTAGGCTATAATTATTAGGAATGCTAAAGGCCCACGCTGTAACGGCCTTTTTCGGTATTTAACTCTAAATCAGTTAAAAAATCTGAAAACTTATCAACAAATTGCCTAAATGCCACAGCTGGACTCGTCTCTCTGATTGGATGACCTCTGAAGGTAACCGTAGGGCTCCTGCAGGGCTACGCCTGCATGCCTGCTGCTCTGTTGAACTGATGAACGATGTTTGTGTCTCTTTGCTGTGTCTCCAGTCAATGCAGTCTTCCAGAGGCACTCCCCCCCCCGTGGCCTGGAAAGCAGCAGCATGTCCCGCATCTCCTCCACCCCCAAACGCTATGCAGGCTCCTCCTACACCAGCCACTACAGCTCCTACGGCTCCTCCGTGACCCCGGGCCTTAGCTCCTACGGCGAGCGGGACCGACTGTCCTCCTACAAGTCTCCCACCTCCTCGTCCTCCTCAGGATACACATCCAGCTACCTGAGCAGCTCCACCTTCCGCGACCGTAACTACAGTGCCTCCTCGGAGCCTGACAGAGACCGGGGCCGAACCATCCCACGTACCGACATCCTCGGGAGCAGCAGCAGCTACAGACGGAGCGAGAGCCTCAGCCGAACCCCCGCCAGGAGCTATGGAGCTCCAGGGCTGAGCGGGGGGTCGGCCTACTCAGGCTACAGCTATACTTCGTCCTTAGCCCCGTCCAGCTACCTCGCTTCTTCACCGGCAGCCTCTAGCATCTCACTGAACAGAAGAAAATCTGTTTCCCAGAGTGACCTGAGCAGAGACTTGTCCTCTCTGAGCCTCAGCAATGCTTCCTCCTCCACCCCGTCCTCCTCCACCAGTGCCCTGCAGAGCTACCGCAGTCGTACTAAGGAGGCGGCGGGGTCGTACGACGCAGGCTCCAGACCGGGCTGCTCCAACCTGCCTCGGAGTTCCACCCAGGAGGCCTTCAGCAGCAGCAGCAGAGTCAGCAGCTCCTCCCTATGGGAACCCAGCAGCAGCAGCCTGTCCGACAGCGCCAGCAGAAAGCCCACAGTAAGTCCTCTTTCTTCTTCTGCTCCTAAAACAT